CCAGATAAAGGTGAATTCAGAATTATTGAAATGCAAGTTGCCAGACGAATAATGCGCTTAAATGTTCTCATTAGAGAAATGGAAAATATTTATCGTTATTACCATCTTTATGAAGCAGAAATTCCTGTACAACTATCTGATCCATCCCCTGTAACAAATTTTGTAAAAACTTTACTGATTTTACAGAATATTCTAATAGTTAATATGTCTTTACTACTTAACGTACCCTCAGTTAGATCCAAAAGAAATAAAGGCAGTTCAAATGTAGATGCTGAATAGATAGGATTATATATGTAGTAAATTTATTATTATTTTTTCTGTATCAATAAGGTAACCCTTGCGGTTGATTTCGCAAATATACATTCATATTTTTTTTCGTGTGGGATATGTGCTAGATAATAAAACTTTTCTTGGCAAATTTGCAGGACCGCGTGGTCTCAGAAAACACGTGATTTTATATATTTTTGATCAAAGTTAATGTAGTATATTTATAATTATGCAAATTCGTGGGTGAGTCGCAGTGATTTACTAATAAAATAAGGCATTAGTCGCGGATAAGCAACAGTAATTCTTTAGATTTGTTATGATGTATTTTCGATTAGTGTTTGGAAATTTCAGCTGGAATCCCATCAGGAAAAGCACGTGACTGATAAATGTTGGGTACAAATTATTCAGATTTTATTTTAAACACCATTAGATCTAAGCCACATCAAATATATAGTCATCTAAAATGGAGTGATTTATACTTATCACGTAATTGCAAAATGTGATTAAAAAAGATATATAAAATAGCATGGCTTCCTACAGTTGGTACCCAAAGAAAGTCTTTAGCAATGTAGATGAATGCTCAACTCCGTGTCTTAATTGACGAAAGGAAAGAAAATAACGAATATTATCATGATCTTGTTGAAAATGGTAAAAAGTTTTTTTGGAAAAGTGTCTCAGCGAAAATCAATCTCCAATATGGAACAAATTATTCTAGCCAACACTGTAAGAAGAAATTTCAAGGACTAGTACGCGCTTACAAAGTAATATTACAGTAATATATTTTCATTATATTTACGCTGATAATCAGCCTGATTATTATTAATCAAATTATTTTTTTTATTAGTTGATGCAACTATACGTTGAAGGGAAGCCCAAAGGGAAGAAAACAAGAAATGGTATTAAATATTATGAGAAATTTAAAACACGTTTCTGGAAAAAACCAGGTAAATATTATTTTCTCTTTTACTTCTATATTATGAAATGATAGATTAATCGGATTACACTTATTTAGTCATAGAATATGATTGAATGCATGAAGAAAGCATTGCAAGTTATCAATCCCCACCACTGTACGAAGAAAGTAGTGGCTCTACTTCACAACCCCAATCACAATCACAACCATAAACTACTAAAAGGATTACTGAAATATGAAAGAAAAAAAAATATAATGCAGGAAATGTGTAATTTACTAGCTATAGTTAGTTTTTTATATTTTCTACCACTAGAATCGGTTAGATTAATGCTTGTGTATAATACAAATGCTAATATAATAAAAATTATGAATTGAATGGTTTTGGTATAAGTATCCTTTAATATCACTGTCTATTTTCTTATTTTTGGAATGGAATTCCATTTTTTCTTTGCGCTTCTGCCTCACCATTATCTCTTTTTGCAGGTTTAGGGGAGTGTCAAACCTTAGGCGGATTGCAAGAGGATCATCCTCAGGCTTATCTAAGTCAAACACAATGAATTCTCCCTTTCGGAGGTAGCTGTTAATGGCCATCGATGCACGGCCAGCGATTTTGGACACGTGATGATAATTTTGCATTGCACAAAATTATATCGCCTTATCTGTTATCTACTGTACTTATCTCCAAAGACCAGTTTTAAGTAATACCAAAATGTCCTCGGAACGCAAACTTAAATTACCTAAGCTTCCAAAAATACCAAAAATATTAAAAAAGAAAAAAACTCCAAGTAGGTTTTTTATCGTGTTTCAGGAATGTACTGATTTCGGAATGTTAACATGCCAACCTAACCACGCGTGTTATAGGTGTTGAAATGACGACCAACCGACCTGAAATTAGTAATACCGTTTCTGGTTCGTACTTTCGTATATGGCTATTTATACTCTTGTTATTATATTCTAATTTCTTGTATACGTTTGAAGAGCCTGATCTCGAAAAAAAGTTTGCTGAAAACCTGAGTTTGAAGGACTCATATGACCTCAAGGATGAAAAACAAGAGAACACAGCTTCAGAAACTAAATCCGGAGCGTCTATTGGTACGGAATTCACTTCAAAACCGGTAGCAAATGTTGAAGGTGACATCGAAAACTTTGCAGTAAGACTAGGACTCAATAAATTCACAAAAAATAAAGATGAGTGGAAGAAATTTTATGGTGCGTAATAAGACTATTCCAGCTTGATTGGTTTGAAGTTATCACTATTCAACTTATTTAAAAGCAACATATCCTTTGTTTAGTCTTCGCTGGCTCAGATTTCGTTTGGCCTCAACCCCCGACGGACATTAATGAGCGTCGCTTAATTTTTGATTATGTCATCGATCCAGATTGGGATCCAATCGGGGAGGAACTCGCCACAAATGCACTTGAATATCGTCGTTTACTCGAATCCGACACTCTTGATCCATTGCAGGGTACACATATATTAATCGTTCATGGGAAATTTGTTAGGTACGGATCAAGTAAAGAAGAAAAGAAAATGAGGGAGGATTATCCGGGGTGCTATTACGTACCTGTTAAAGAACGTATTGTTGAATTGCGTAGATTTTCAGCATCTGATGCTAATACAAATGCAGGTGCAGAGAAAGAGTGGCAGGTCGTATGATTTATAATATATGGATTATAAGGTCATTGACAGTTGTTATTTGATATATTATACCTGCCAATGCCCTAATAAGAACGACATCATTTGGATTTCTTTTGCCAAATATAGGTGCATATTCGTCTTCGAAATACAGTAAATGCCCGGGATGAAGCGGGAATGGCAAATGTATAGCAAGGTTTCCGAATGATAATGGATACAGGCGCAACAACGACTGTAATCCCATACTTTATAAGAAGAAAACTATATAGTGCTCAAGATGGTTGGAGTCCAAATCCTAGTAGAGCTGATGGATATGGTGCTGGCGCAAAAATGTTTCAGGCTTCAAGAGATTGGTACATTTGCTTAGGTGATGGGATCAACTGGTCTGGTTGGGTTAGGACAAACGAAATTCATTCATGGCAAAGTAATCCAGCTGGTGTCACATGTGGTGTAATTGGTTACGATGTTCTTAACAATATTCCGCATTACAAACCCTGTAGGCAACCCTACGTATTTCTTAAAAACGATATTTTCGGCCAAATACCACAATTACAAGTATCGGAATAAATGTTAAAATGAGAATTTCTATAGCCAAATTTAATCAGCAAAAACATTCGAATAAGTGGTCTGGATTTAATTGAATAATGACGCAGTATATGTATTCATATTGAAATTAAATAAAATTTCGTGCTTATAATTTTCTAAATAGTCTATGGTGTGGTTTGGGGTGTGTGTATCGGAAAAAAATGGGTATGTAATGATCATAAAGCACTTAAAGTTTTGAGTTTATTCAATGAGGCCCAATTCTCGAAGATGCTCAGGAATAACTACATATGGGTCTTCGTAATACCAAACATACCTTAGGGCAATCTGATTCTCTTCGCATAATTCTTTCTTAAGTTGATCCCGCTCTTGCTGTTTGATAAAATTATTGGGATCGCCTCTATGAAAGAACTCTATATATTTTTCGTGTTGTTCTCCTTGTACTTCGGTTGCAAATTCATATTGTGGGTAATAAATGTCAAGTTCTAATCCAGTTGGGTGATCTAAAGTTTTAAGAAAATCAGGTCGACGTATCTTAGATGG